GAAATATACAAATTTATTTTTACACTAGCATGTATACAAAATAATTGAATCAGACTCACACGAAAATATTTTTAAATTAAATTGATAGTCAAAGATTCAATAGAAAAACGTACTTTTTTTCTCTAAATAGAATGAATACAAGAAACCATTCAAATAATTCGAAAGTATTAATACTAATATAGTATTAATACTTAATACTATAAAAGTATTATAAAAAATTTGAAATGATTTTAATTAGAAAAAAAGTCTTTTCTACATATACAGATTGTTTCGTTATTCATGATATAATAGAGCAGGGATAAAAAAATAAATTGAAAAAGAATTAAAATTTTTTCATATGAAATTTCACTTTCGAAAAATTCGAATTTAAAAATTTATTGTATTAAATTTGTAAATTTCGATTTGTCATTAATATTAATAATTTCTTTAATTTCTTAATTTATTTTTATTAAAACAATAGAAATATGTTTATGAAAGAATTATCTTATGGAAGAATTAAAAATGATATATTACGAACAACATACAATAATTAATTAAAAGAATATAATTATGTATGCAGCATTATGATCGAAATTTTAAATAAATTTTATCAATAAATACATTTGTAAAAAGCAATATCTTTAAAAAAATTATCTTTATTTATAAAATTTTATAATTACATTAGTAATATAATTACATTAGATAATAATAATAAGCAAATAGTATTTCTCATATTTATGAACACAAACACGAATAGAAAAAATTGACAACTAAAATTTATAATTAAAGCACATATAGTCAATAAATTTTCAAATTCAATTTTCTCGAAAATAAATCTTCGTATGAAAAAGACTTTATCCATTTTTTTCTATTTATTTTTTCATGAGGAAAAAATTCCTTGTCCGGTTCACGAGTAACGGAATATCCTTTATAACATCGAGTTACATTTCCCTCTGTATTATGCAACTTTTGTATGAAACATATTTTTATATAACAAGTAATTACATTATTTAAAATGATTTTATTATTTGTTTTATATATTTTGAATTCCTTATGATTATAACCAAAAAAATTAGAATAATTTCCAATATTTTTTGTATTTTTAATAAAATTAAAAAACTTGAATCATTGAAATTTAATTGCAAATTTTCAAATTTTTAATAATCAATTATTAATATATTTAATATATATACATTAATAATTTATATGTAATGATATACAATATATAATATAATGATATATAATCTTTTTTTTTTATACCACATAATTAAAATATGAAATTAAGAATATCTGGAATTTATTTAAAACATTTGTATTTATATTACTAATCACCACATTAACTGAAGAAGAAAATTCTTTATATTTGGCAAAATCATCAAAAAATAAAATATACAATAAAATAGTATATATAGTGTATGTTAAAATATATATATATATATATATTATAATCAAAATAAAAAAAGGAAATATAAATTATTAATATATTAAAAAAATTATTATATTATTATAATATTGTCAAAGCCATTAAATTTTCCTAAGAACACTGAAAAATATTGAAAATTGTGAATAATTTTTTTACCTATATATAATATGTATTATTATATTACATTAATAAGTATTTTATATTATAAATATATTATAATTCTGAAAAAAACAGAATATTTAATTTTTTTTTTTGAAAGAAAATTATTTAATTATATTTTTCTTGAATTAAAATTTTTTAATTTTAATAAAAAAAATTGTTTAATTGAGTTAATTAAAAAAAAAATAATGAAAGAAGCATAATTCAAATGTTTTTGAGAATATTAGAAAACTTATAGAAGATTAAAATTAATCATGGAAAATAAATTATATTAATTTAGTAATATTGTTATATAACTAAATTAATCATATGCATTTAATAAGATAAAACAAAATTCGAATTTTGTTTTTTAATTTATATATATGCAGATAATATATTATATATATTAGCAGATTATAGATATGCATATAAAATAAATATAATTTTCTATATTCTAAAAACTATAAAAAATGTAAATAGATATAATGAAAGAAAAGTTATTTATTATAAGATTCATTATTATATATAAATTACAATAAAATGATATATAAAATGATAATTTAAAAATTTTAGAAGAAAAATTTTTGAATTAAAAAAAAAATAATTAATATAAAAAAAAAATATATATATTTTTTCTTTTATATTAATAATTAAAAATTGAAATTATACAATATATTATGATTTAAGTTTATTCTCTATTTCTCAAATTAGAATTTCATATTATACATATTTTAACTGTATATTGAATTAGTTATTAAAATCTGCATTCATTATTTAAAATTTTAATGTTGTTTAAAAAAAAATAATATTTCATATAATATTTCCAAAAAAAAATATATAATTTTATACAAATAAATTCATTT